ATTTGCAGGCCTGATAGTGAAGATTTCTGCTGACACTCATCTGAGCTTCTTCCTCTGTCCCACCTTTAATTACAACTAAACCATCATTTGGCTGAATAATAAACCAACATTAATCATTCAATATCACATGTTTCTAATACGCATGCTAACACACACACTGCTTTATTTAATAGTGAAGTCTGAGTCTCTTCCACCTGTATGAAACACATTTACACATGTATTTCTCCTCTTAGACAGCAGTGGGACTCTTCTGTGGATCACCTGATGGTTTCTGCTCCTCTCATCTCCGTCTCACAGATTTAAACCTTGATGTAAATCCACTGACGTTTGGTGATCGATCTTAATCTATTCTGTAAAGTGGAACAGAAGAGAAAACAATCAGTGTTCAGTGGAACAAAGTGCTGTTTTTCTTTAGTAAAAGTAAGTTAAATTGAATTCCTGTAATCAGATTAATTACTGACTTTACATGATCTTGGATAGAGATATTTGTGTATTTAAATATAATAGATGTAAAGCCTGAATCATGTTCATATGTGTGTCTGTGTGTGTCGGTGCGACTCCTATCGAGTCTCTGTAAAGGAGAAACTAATGAGTGTACGGCGTATGGAATAAACCACAGCGGGCAAATACTAATGTTATTTTGAGTTAAACACAAACCTTTAGTTAAAGCCGTTTGTCCTCTAGTTTAAACACGTTTGTAGGCTCTTAGTAAATAACTGAGAGTAAAGTAAGTGTAGAGTAGTGTGACGTGTTGCTTGTCACAGTAAAAACACACTAGAGACAGAGACATTGCTCATGTGAGCTGGAACTGCACTGATTTTAGCAGGAGTGCAGCGTTTCTTACAATCTGACCAAGTCTGTTTCACACTCAAATGATTCACTTCTACTGACACAGTTCATAAAGCAGGTGTTGATGTATAAAGCTGTGACAGTGAGCTTTTCTTCTCTTTCCTCCTTTGTGTTCAACATTTCAATAACTTCACATTATGTTCTCACACAAACCCTTTGTTGCAAAAAATCTTAATGATAATTTCCTTTCACGAATGTTTGAAAGGTTTGTTCACATATCAGAGGTAAATGAAGATGTCTTTAATATCTCTGTTTCCTCACCTCAGGACACAGTTTGAGTCTCGTAGCTCGTCTCTGAGCCGCTGCTTTGAGTCTGCTATCTCATTGTAACTCAGATCAAGCTCTTTTAAAAACTGCAGTGGTCTTGAGTTCTTCAAAGACTGAGTTAAAGAAGAAACATCTGTAACGCCACAGCTACTTAGACTAGAAAGACACAAACAGAGAAAGAGAGATTATCTTACAAACAAATCACGAATGTGAAGAATTTTACACAGATATAATGTGAACTCAGACTCACTGTCAGATATTGAGGATAAAGTGTTTTAGTTTAATAAACCCAGAAAGTGCACTGCTATAACCAATGAAACATAAGCCCTGCTGTCTTCAAATAAATAAACTTCAGTCACACTGTAATTGCTGTACAGTATAATGACACTAACTGTAGTTTCTCCAGCTTGAATTGTGGGTTCATCAGTAGATCACTGAGGTTTTTCACTCCAGAGTCTCCTAGTTTATTCCTGCTCAGGTCCAGCTCTCTCATGTGTGACGGGTTTGATTTCAGAGCTGAAGTCACATCAGAACAACCTTCATCTGTCATATAACACCAGCTTAACCTACATTAGCAGAGAGAGAGAGAGAGAGAGAGAGAGAGAGAGAGAGAGAGAATGAAGAAAATAAGAGACTCTTTATTCTGTAAAGTCACATCATCTTCATCAGCAAATAAAACAGACACAGGAAGAGAGATCTTCATCTTTATTTCACCAGATCACAAAATACTAAGGTGAAAATGTTTATACAAATATAATGTTAATGTGTTTTAGTTTAAACAGTTGAAGTGATTTTAAGCATTTTGATTCTTGTATGTGACTGACCTCAATCTCTCCAGTTTACAGTGTGAATCCTTCATTACGGCACATAAGTGCTTCACTCCTGAGTTTCCTAGATTATTCCTGCTCAGGTCCAGCTCTCTCAGGTGTGACGGGTTTGATTTCAGAGCTGAAGTCAGGATGAGACTCTGTTTCTCTGTAATACTGCAATAACTCAGACTGAAGACAGAGAAATAACAATAGTTCACATCTATGATGATCATCTTATTGAAGAGCTACAGCAGCATTTAGTTTCCAATAGTCTGTTTTAAAACCCAGTCACACTAGTTCTGTGCGCTGGAAGACACTGTTTCTTCTCTTTCATTTCTAACTATTTATTTGACGTCTCTCTTCTTTATTCTCTGTTGAAAAGGCAGATTTCTGTGTGTACACAATCAGTGTATTGTATCAGATGTTGGGAATTAAACAATTACTATCTACACTCTAAAAAGTTTTATATGATTTACTACATTTTTTTGGTGAAAAATGTTCACACTCAAATATATTGATTCAATTTTAAAGCAGTGAAATCAATTACAATACACTGTATAAGCTAACTAGAAAAAAAGCACACAAAAATGTGTATATGGAAACCCAGATGTGTATATGCTATAACCAATGAAACATAAGCCCTGCTGTCTTCAAATAAATAAACTTCAGTCACACTGTAATTCAGTGGTGGGCCATCAGGGCCAGCAAGGCCTTCTCTGCTGGCCTAAACACTCAGAATCACTGACTTGCACTTTAATATATTTTTTGCATGAATATTCAATTATTCCCAATAGTTCATTCTCTTAATTTCATAGCTTTTCTCTTGGTTGCGCTGCTTCCAGTATTGTGTTTTTATGTTAGAGCTTGTATCCAATCATATTTCAGCCAAAATGTGTTGCCAGGGTCAAATAAATCTGCCTGGAGGCCTTCAGAATTGACAGTGCAGGCGCCTGTAGCTTAAAATGAAAGGCAATGAAATTGTTTCTTTAACCAATCAGATAATCCGTCAGATTTAATCAGCCAATCAGATTTCGCTTTGACTGCAGCGGGGCCATCTAGGAGGCGAATAATAACATCTGTATTTTCTCATTCTTTGATTGGATGCACGTATTATTACTGGTAGTATCCGCATCTGTAGCGAACTGCATAAACTAAAATATATTCCTGTAGATGTAATAGATTTCAACCCACAAATTAATGTTTCTTTCCCTCCTCGACCCCCAGCAGAAAAAAATTCCTTATTTAGCCTGAGCTAAACGCAAAGTAACGGGACTCTATTCGATCTCTCCAGGTAAAAACAGAACTGACTAATGTAAGTTATGAAACGAATGATTTTGAAGGCAAAAGTCCCACTGATCTCGTTGATTTCGTTCAAAACTCTGTGTGAGAGCATGGGGCAGCTGTACACATCGTCATGTTTTGCGGTGACTGTGTGCTTCTGTCGAACAGGCACTCTCAGCCATAAAGCAAATTAAAATTTATGCTAGAAATATGACGAGACAGACACAACATTATTGGAACTGAAACGCAGTTAGAACCTGTACGACAGTAATTGAAGTCTTCTTGAGGAGAGAAATAAAGATGGATTTTGTGTAAAAAAAATAATCTGTAGTTTTGGTGAGTATATGCTTTTTCCCCGTGGGAATATGATTTTCTTCTTAATTTTTTGTATAAATTTATGATTGAAACTTAATTTTTTTCAAACATTCATACTATTGTAACATCTGAAAGGGACTACTATTGTAACCCTTGAATGACAATATAAGTGAGACTTCGTTTCTGAACTTATAATCGGATTCGTAATGCAAGAACCACTTTACAAACGCACCGGCCGAACTCACGCGCTCGTTTCTCTCTACCGGCCTCTCCCGAACTCACCGCATTAATCCAATAACTACCGGTGCAAAATAAAAACAACAATTATAGAGAGTCTTCGCGCTGATACACTATTAAAAGTTATTAATTCAGGTAGGACAGATGGCCTAGGTGTGAAATGCACGGCCCGCCACTGCTGTAATTGCTGTACAGTATAATGACACTAACTGTAGTTTCTCCAGCTTGAATTGTGGGTTCATCAGTAGATCACTGAGGTTTTTCACTCCAGAGTCTCCTAGTTTATTCCAGCTCAGGTCCAGCTCTCTCAGGTGTGACGGGTTTGATTTCAGAGCTGAAGTCACATCAGAACAACCTTCATCTGTCATATCACAGGATCTTAACCTACATTAGCAGAGAGAGAGAGAGAGAGAGAGAGAATGAAGAAATTAAAAGACTCTTTATTCAGTAAAGTCACTTCATCTTCATCAGCAAATAAAACAGACAGAGGAAGAGAGATCTTCATCTTTATCTCACCAGATCACAAAACACTAAGGTGAAAAAGTTTGTTCAAATATAATGTTTATGTGTTCTAGTTTAAACACTTAAAGTGATTTTAAGCATTTTGATTCTTGTAAGTGAATGTGACTGACCTCAATCTCTCTAGTTTACAATGTGAATCCTTCATTACGGCACATAAGTGCTTCACTCCTGTGTTTCCTAGTTTATTCTCGCTCAGGTCCAGCTCTCTCAGGTGTGACGGGTTTGATTTCAGAGCTGAAGTCAGGATGAGACTCTGTTTCTCTGTAATACTGCAATAACTCAGACTGAAGACAGAGAAATAACAATAGTTCACATCTATGATGATCATCTTATTGAAGAGCTACAGCAGCATTTAGTTTCCAATAGTCTGTTTTAAAACCCAGTCACACTAGTTCTGTGCGCTGGAAGACACTGTTTCTTCTCTTTCATTTCTAACTATTTATTTGACGTCTCTCTTCTTTATTCTCTGTTGAAAAGGCAGATTTCTGTGTGTACACAATCAGTACGTTGTATCAGATGTTGGGAATTAAAAAATTTACTAACTACACTTTATTAACTAGATAAAAAACTGTGAAAAGATAAAGAACTAGAAAAAAAAATGTGAGCAATAGGTAAACCCAGAAAGTGCACTGCTATAACCAATGAAACATAAGCCCTGCTGTCTTCTAATAAATAAACTTCAGTCACACTGTAATTGCTGTACAGTATAATGACACTAACTGTAGTTTCTCCAGCTTGAATTGTGGGTTCATCAGTAGATCACTGAGGTTTTTCACTCCAGAGTCTCCTAGATTATTCTCGCTCAGGTCCAGCTCTCTCAGGTGTGACGGGTTTGATTTCAGAGCTGAAGTCACATCAGAACAACCTTCATCTGTCATATAACACCAGCTTAACCTACATTAGCAGAGAAAGAGAGAGAGAGAGAATGAAGAAAATAAGAGAATCTTTATTCTGTATTTCACCATATCACAAAATACTAAAGTGAAAATGTTTGCATAAATTTATTGTGAATTTAGACTCTGTGAGATATTGCGTATAAATATATACTTGTCACGGATCCATCAGCGTCAGCACCAGATACCGTCACCCCGCCCACTCATTCCGGTTCCCCTGACTACTGATCATCATCACCTGCCTTCACCACCTGCCATCACTTATCCGGATTATCAGTCTCTCCATATATACTCACCTCATTCAGTCACTCACTGTCTGGTCTCGTCTTTACCACGACTACAGACTCCCTATCGCTATTCCACGTTCCTGCTATTACTTACCTGCATTGATTCTCCAGCCCGTCAGCCTGCCATCAGTTCCCGTCCTTGGTCCCCGTCTGCCTCCAGTCCGCTCCTGTCTCCAGCTCCAATCCTCTCTCCATTGCTCCCGTCAGCTCTCCGACCTCCCGTTCCTGTTCAGATAAGAGAACCTTCACCAGACTGTTGATATCACTCTCCAACTTCAACTACTACGCTACTTACCATTGTTATCCCGTTTCAATAAACTCTGTTCAAACTCACCAGTCTGTGCCCTTCTGTTCTGTGACAGAAGACCAGACCCGCATTATGCTTCAACCACCGCCCGCTACCACCTCTACCCCGAACCCCCTACCGACACCATCCGTTCCCCGGACCAGTGCATCCGCACTCGCTACAGCCACCGTAGCCACTTCTTCAGTCTCTGCCTCTGTATGTCCCATGGCCCAACCAGCGCCCTTTTCTGGCGAGGAGGAGGAGTGCAGCGGCTTCCTTCTGCAGTGTGAGCTCTACATTGAGATGATTCCATCCTCGTTCCCCACCGATCAGTCGAAAGTGGCCTTCTTCATTTCTCTTCTCCGTGGTCGGGCTCTTCAGTGGGCTCACGCCCTATGGAAGGATCGCGGGCCCGTAACCCAGACCTTCGCCACTTTCTCCAGCCACTTCCTCGAGGTGTTCTCCCAATCGGCTCACTCCATCTCCGTACAAGATCAACTGCTCCGAGTGAGACAAGGAAGATCATCCGTGGCTTCATACGCCCTGCAGTTCCGGACCCTCGCCGCCACGCTGGGATGGAATGAATCAGCCCTCATCACAGTTTACCGTCACGGCCTGAATCCCGACACCTGTCTTCAGTTGGCCATCTACGACGGTTCTCGAGAACCTCATCCAGCGATCCATCCGCATCGATCAGCGCCGCACTGCCTGCCAGTTGGATAGCCCTGCACCCCCGCCTCCTCGTCCATCAGCCACTCACAGCCCTCCAGCATCAGAGCCGATGGAGATCGGATCAGCCCGCCTTCCTATCGCCGAACGTAATCGCCGCATCACCAACGGCTTATGTCTGTACTGTGGATCTGCGGGACACTTATTATCCACCTGTCCCATCCGTCCACCCCGACCTGCTGTGAGTACAGTTCAACTACCCCTACCCATTTCCAATCTGAAGTATACCGCGGCTACTATCACTTATATGACCCGTTCCCTTCCAGTACAAGCGCTAATCGATTCAGGATCCGCCGGTAACTTCATCTCACTTTCCACTCTCCATCGGCTCCAAACCAGGCAACGTACCATCCCTCACACCCTTCAAGTCCAGTCCATCATCGGAAAACCCCTCGGCCGAGGCCGGATCGGTCACCGCAGCCCAGATCTTGGGTTGGAAATCGGTTGGCTTCACAAGTAGGCAATTTCCTTTCTGGTGCTGGAGGGCTCGACCGCCGAGATCATCCTGGGACGCCCTTGGCTCGAACTCCACTCCCCGCATATCCAATGGTCCACAGGGGAGATCCTACAGTGGGGTGAAGCATGCCATCATCGTTGCCTGCCTACCATTCCCAAACCGCTTCGCCATCGCTCCGCTCCGACTAAGAAAATCCCTCTGTCCGCCACCTCCGTGGAGAGTCCCCCCACTGGATTCCTACCGGAGATTCCCCTTCCCTATCGGGCGTTCCAGGATGTCTTTGATAAGCAACTGGCAACCACTTTACCACCACACCGGCCATGGGACTGTGCGATCGACCTGCTGCCTGGGGCGGTGCTACCGCGAGGTAAGATCTATCCTCTGTCCATCCTTGAGCAGAAGGCCATGGAGGAGTACATCCAGGAAGCCCTGAGTCAAGGATATATTCGACCTTCTACGTCCCCTGCCGCCTCAAGTTTCTTCTTCGTGAGCAAAAAGGACGGAGGCTTGCGCTCCTGCATCGACTACCGTGTGCTCAATCAATCTACCGTCAAGTTCCGCTATCCTCTTCCTCTGGTCCCCGCCGCACTAGAACAACTCCGTGGTGCCACCATCTACTCCAAGCTCGACCTCCGCAGTGCCTATAACCTTATCCGCATCCGTGAAGGAGACGAATGGAAAACCGCCTTTATTACCCCTTCGGGGCACTACGAGTATCTTGTCATGCCCTTCGGATTGTCCAACTCACCTGCCGTGTTCCAGGGCTTTATGAATGAAATATTCTGAGACCTACTCCACCAATTCGTCCTCATCTACATCGATGATATCCTCATTTACTCTCCAGATCTGTCTTCTCACATCCTCCATGTACAAACCGTCCTCCAACGACTCCGCGACTATCAACTCTTCCTAAAACTGGAAAAGTGTGAATTCCATAAAGACACCATTCAGTTCCTGGGATACCTCATCACTCCCCGTGGCATCACCATGGACCAGAGGAAGGTGGACGCCGTTAACAACTGGCCACAACCCACCTCCCGGAAGGACCTCCAACGGTTCCTTGGTTTTGCTAATTTCTACCGTCGTTTCATCCACAACTTTAGTCAGACCTGTGTCCCTCTCACCAACCTCCTCAAGGGCGGGGCCAAGTCTCTGTCCTGGAACACCGATGCCTCTCGATCCTTTGAAGATTTGAAACGGGCCTTCAGTTCCGCTCCTACCCTCTCCCTTCCCGATCCAACCCTGCCATTCATCGTTGAAGTGGACGCCTCTACCTCCGGGGTAGTGATGGCCTGCTCCAGCGGCAGGGGACTCCGTCACAACTCCATCCATGCGCCTTCTTCTCCAAAAAACTGTCCCCGGCGGAGCAGAATTATGACATCGGCAATCGAGAGCTGCTCGCGATCAAACTGGCATTAGAAGAATGGAGGCACTGGCTGGAGGGGGCTCAACATCCTTTCACCGTCATCACCAATCACCGGAACCTCGAATATCTCCGTGAGGCCAGAAGACTCAACCCCCGTCAAGCCCGTTGGTCCCTCTTCTTCACCCGCTTCAACTTCACCGTCACCTACCGGCCCGGACACAAGAATGTAAAAGCAGACGCCCTGTCACGACAGTTCCAGCCCTGTTCTCCTCCTCTCCGTCCCGAGACCATCCTCCCTCCAGCCGTAGTCGTAAGCCCCATTCAATGGAATATAGACGACCACATCGCCGAAGCCACCCTAACCGAACCTGCTCCGCCGGGAGGTCCAGAGGGACGGGTCTATGTCCCGACCCGCCTGCGCCTGTCCCTCATGGACTCTGTTCACACCTCCCCGGGCTCTGGACACCCAGGCAGCCAATTAACTCTCTCGCTCGTCCAACAACGTTATTGGTGGCCGGGTATGGCCCAGGATGTCTCCCGATACGTCAAGGGATGCTCAGTCTGTGCCATGGCCAAGGTTCCTCGCCATCTCCCCGAAGGGAAACTTCACCCTCTACCCATACCCACTCGCCCGTGGTCCCACCTGGGGGTCGACTTCGTCACTGATCTTCCCCGTTCCAATAACCACACCTGCATCCTCGTCGTAGTCGACCGCTTCTCCAAGGCTTGCAAGCTAATTCCACTTCCCGGGTTACCCACTGCCTTTGAAACCGCCGAAGCCTTATTCCACCATGTATTCCGGAACTTTGGCATTCCTGAGGATGTGGTATCTGACCGGGGTCCACAATTCATCTCCCGTGTGTGGAGGGCCTTCTTCACTCTCCTGGGTGTTACCGTCAGCCTGACGTCGGGCTACCACCCCCAGTCCAACGGCCAGACTGAGCGGAAGATCCAGGAAATCGGGAGATATCTACGGTCATACTGCCACGACCACCAGGACTGCTGGAGTCGCTACCTGCCGTGGGCCGAGTATGCACAGAATTCCCTCCGTCAATCCACCACAGGACTCACCCCCTTCCAGTGCATACTCGGCTACCAACCTCCTCTGTTTCCCTGGTCCGGAGAACCATCAGACGTTCCAGCAGTCCATCACTGGTTCCAGGCGAGCGAGAGGGTCTGGGACTCAGCCCACACTCACCTCCAGCGGGCTGTTCGGAGACACAAGAGCCAGGCCGACGCTCGACGTGCCTCCAATCCCCAATATCACCCAGGACAACTGGTCTGGCTCTCCACCCGGGACATCCGTCTCCGACAGCCCTGATACATAGGTCCGTTCGCCATACAGAGGCAGATCAATCCCGTCACCTATCGACTCTCACTTCCCGCTCACTACCGCATCACACCTACCTTCCATGTTTCCCTCCTCAAGCCCTATACTAATCCTCTCACTCCTTCCTCCCCAGGGTCTGGTGCTGCGGACGTGACCCCTCCTCCTGCGGATCCGGAGGATGACAACACCTACCGAGTGCACGAAATCCTCGATTCCCGGCGACGGGGCGGCCTTCTGGAATATCTCGTGGACTGGGAAGGATTTGGTATGGAGGAGAGGTGCTGGGTCCATCGGGAGGACATTCTGGATCCCACTCTACTCCAGGACTTCCATTCAGCCCATCCAGATCGCCCAGCACCCAGGGGCCGTGGTCGTCCCCGTCGTCGGTCCCGCCCGCCAGCTGGAGCTGGCCGTGGGGGGGGGGGGTACTGTCACGGATCCATCAGTGTCAGCACCAGATACCGTCACCCCGCCCACTCGTTCCGGTTCCCCTGACTACTGATCATCATCACCTGCCTTCACCACCTGCCATCACTTATCCGGATTATCAGTCTCTCCATATATACTCACCTCATTCAG